AGAAATGAGACTATCCTATATCTCTTTGTCTTTTATTTTACAAAAAAAAATTTACATTTCGTCAAAAATGATCAACTATCCATACACTTTTAACAAATAATATGTATGTACAAGTATTATCAAATGACAAAACAAAGTACTTATGAATTAATATCTTTCTTCATTTTTTAATTTTATTCACATAATAATAATAATTATTATTATTATTGACTAATTAAAAGCATTATATTTTTAGAAACTCAACTTTATTGTATATTATCGTGCATAAGTTTGGTAACTTCTAACTATTGGAATAAACTATAAATTTATTATATTATATAATAAAAATATTTTTTAAAATTATAATTTTAATATTAATTAATTATTGAAAAAATTTTATAATTTATTATTTATATTTAAAAATTAAATTTAAACATCAAATATTATATATATATAATTATTAAAAAAAAAATTTTTTTTAATTTTTTAAAATAAGATACAATGATTGAATTAGTAATAAACTTAATTTATTATGTAAATTATATTTAATTATAAAATATAAATATAAGGAACTAGGCAAAATAAATATATTCACCTGTTTATCAAAAATATGTCTTATTGAATACAATTTTAAGTCAATCTGCCCAATGAATAAATTAACAACAATGAATTATTGCAATATAAAATACTTCAAATGAATCTCTTTAATTCAATCTTAATATATACAATATATATATAATTAATAATAGATATTGATAAAATTAATATTATAATAATTACAATAATAGGTTGCTAAAGACTTTGTACACTGACTTCAGTTGCAGTAAATATATGTCTATTCAATGTTAAAATATATATTTTTAGTCACATTCAAAATGTTTATATAAATTTTATGAAATGTTAGTTATTTATTAGAAATGAATATAGAAATTGATATACAATGTGATATACAATGTAGATATATATTCTTTGTTTCTGATTAAATTTAACAACACACTTGTTCTCCATTAGGATATAAAAAATTAAGAAGGAATGTCCGTCGATCATAACTATAGAATGACCGATATCGAGGAATGTTTTCTTAAATTATATATTTAGAAAAAAAAGTGCTAACTCACATAAATATGTATCTGTATCAAAAAAATTATTACTTTGATAGATATTTTAACTTTAATTCTACAAACCCTCGCGTAAGAAACAAGAACAATTTAAACACAAAATGTTTAATTTTCTTCTCTTTCCTCTTCTTTCATATCATAAATTTTGCAAACTTCAGATTAAAATATCTCCAAAATCAATAGTTTATTTACATGGCTAAGAAAATTAATGAAAACTTGGAATCCGTTATTTTAATCATTTTTTAACGCAAAAGTCCCACTAAATTTCATCGTTAATTATTCCATAATGCGCTATAGGGATTCGATTCCCAATTCTAGGAGCAGACAGATAAATCTATCATTAGAAATGAGTGTCATTGGCTAAGAAGATGATGCATAACGCGGCTGACAAGCAGGTGGAGAAGTTGAAAGTGACGGTAGCATCCCCGGTTCGGTTCCTCCAGCCGATTTTCTCGTGTCTACCGCTCCTCCGTTACATCGGGGTCTTAAGGGTGATTTCTTTTCGTTTCTGGCTCCGCCGGACTAAATTTCGCGCGTTAAGCCCTCAGTGTAATCCTGCCCTTAATATTCAAAAACGTGATCGCCCTGCCAAGCATGCCGAACGAAGTAACAGCCCCCGAGGAGTCGAGCGCAGCTCGACCAACCGAACTGGCGAACGAGGGAAGCTTTTCATATGCTAATTGGCATTCGTCATTTTCTTATGGCAGCGACTTAAGTGTGCTTAAGCGTGCTAACTCCTTTCTCGAAGCGTTAGAGCTTGGCCGAACCTCGTGAAACCGGTCGCTGCCATTTTCGAAATTGGATGGGTTTTCGGGAATTCTTCTTACCGATCGGCTCTTTCGGCCAATACGGAGTATCGAATCGAAAGGAGATATTTTATATCAGAAATCGGTAATAAATCAAGTGTTCGTGAAATATTTTTAAGATGATCGTATTACTATACTATTAGTAATACCGAATATACTTGAAACTAGAAACTGTAAGTGTAAAATATTTATAATAATAGCTGCCACTTATTGAGAACATTAATTAGAAAATTAATTAGAAAGTATTGATCATAATACCTATTGAGAACGTTAGTAAACAAATTAATCAGAGTTTATAAGTATAAAATGTTGATGAAAATAGTCTTTATTAATTTTTAATTTATATTTTAACAATTATTAAAAGTACCGTGCATATTATTCGACATAATAATAATTTGTATATAATAAATATTTCTTGTGTTTATATGTCTATTTTTTTTATTTTTTTGGTTTACCACTTAAGAAATATAATACCTACAATATAAGCTCCTTTATGTAAATCTCTATTTAAATTTTAATATTCGAATGTTATTACAACAGAATTTCTACTAGAAAATCAGATGCTACTAGTAGACAGTTTTACTTTTATAATATAATGTTCGAATATTAAGAAATTTGAAAAATAGGGAAGCTTTATTCTGGAAAGTTTCTTTTCTGTGTTTACAATGGCACAAAAATTTAATAAAAGTGTCATAGGTAACTTAATTCTAGATATAAAGAGCTAAGAACATTAATTAAAATATTAATTAGAAATTATAAATATAAAACATCGATAAAAAAATGATTTAGAAAATTAATTTAAAATAATAAATATGAAATATCGGTACAAAATTATTTAGAATTATTTAGAAAATTTACTAGAAGTAATAAATACAAAATATCGATCAAAAATTGCTTAGAAAATTAATTAAAAATTAATAATTATAAAATATTGATAAAACTATTTGCTTTCCATTCATGCTATTAATCCTTGAGTAAACTTAATTCTTTTGTAATAGTAGGAGTTTATATTTATATCAAATTGGTGAATAGAAATAAATTTTCCTTTGCAGCATTAGAAATAATGAAGAATTTCATAATTTAAATTATGTTTATTATTAATTATATATTGGGGCTTCAGTGGCCCCAATCCATTTAAAGATTCAGAAAATATATTCTTAAAATATATAATGTTGCTCTATATTTCGAGAGTATTTAATATTTCTTTTTAGATATAAAATATTTGAAACTTAACTATCGATCACAACAACGATTCTCATTTGGATCACTGCATGAGATCCAAAAATTCCAACTACATAACAAATTTTAATTAGTTGAAAATCATTAATTTAGGTAGGTATATCATTAATTTCTTCTTTTTAAATACACACTTAAGTTTATAAATAGAATTTTATATTAATAAATTCATTTGAAATGAATAGTATTAAATATTGTGTGGTTACAATTTTTCCTCCTGAAATTAAGATAAAGTGCCTTTTCTCGTAAGCTCATCATTCTGATTGCCCTTTCTAATGAAAAGATTTCCGACGTCTGTTCCATAGCGTCGAATTTTGTCTTTCTTTCTCAAATATTATGAATATTGAAATTTAACCCGTGTGGATATCGATGAATATTATCTGACATCTTTGACATTCTTAATGTCCCGAGAGATTTCATAAGACTTTGGTGATTAATTAAACATTCGTTCATTCATATACCACGTTAAATACGCAAGTTTATGCTAATGTATTCATCCGAAGACATTAATTAAAGTTTCAAACGTTGTTCTAATAAAATTTTGAATGTGTTTATAATTAATACAAAGAAATTACAGATATGGCAGTATATCTTCAGTTCGATTATACTTTATTACTATCTATTAGTCTATACCTATTTAAGACTTTTTCGAATATTCTTTAGTGATTGATGCATTGAAAGTGATCGTGTAGTTCTTAGATTCTTAAATAATCTTGTCTTGGATATTTACTGATAACCGTTTAATCTTTAATTCTATGAACTACCTTTAGATCGAAGAACTGAGTAAGTGAAAAATATGCTACATGAGTTTTTTCCAAACTTTGATTATTATCTACGATATTATTTACAATGATATTGTAAAAAAAATTGAAGAAAAAATATTAACAAAAGATTTGCAATGATGTATACTATATAATATAAGTTAAGCCAATATAGTATATATATATGTAATATAAGTTAACTGAGTAAACAAAAAACATTTAAAAAATATGTAATTCTATAAATGTGAGCTTAGAATTACTTCTTGTATTATTTTTATTCTATAATTATTACATTATATGTTAAAATATGGAATATGTGTACAATTAATCATTTTCAAAACACTATTTAATATTATGATATTACATATAATACATTAAATAATTATATTGTTTTTATCTAGTTTATAAATATTAACTGTATTATTAAGTATAATATTAAGCATTATCTATTAATATAATATTGCATTAATTAATACAATGTATTATATTATTAATTAATAATATTGTATTAATATAATATACATTTATAACATATGTAATTAATATTAATATAATAAATAATTAATATTATATTTAATATTTATGAACTATTAGGTATTTCAATTTTATATAAATATAAATATATAAGTATAATATACTTAGTACGCATATATATTATATTTACTGAAGTCTATTATAATTTTAAGAGTTATTTGCAATAACAAATTACATTATGATAAACACATGTATGAACACATTGTACATGAAAAAATTGAAAATATATTTACAGAACGTATGAAGTTTGCAATAATTAATATCATTTGACATAATTATGGTTAAAAAGTTTTAATTAAAATTTCAATTCGTTCATTTTGTATTACACTTTTCCTTTGTACGAAAAATAACATCAATTAAAATAAGATGAAAAATACGAAAAGAAGAAAACAAATTTAATCTGAACTGAACCTACAAATAAAAATAGTATCGAACAATAACATGCGATTCATCGTTGACGTGTCAGAAAATTTCTCAATCAAAATAAATATTTCACAATGTGACTTTCCCATACAATCGTGCAATTGTTAATCAAACTAAATTATGAAATTATTAAATGCTTCATACGAGAGATGGTTTAATCACACCGATAAAAATTTTCACCGACAAGAATCTCTACCGATAATATCGTTCGCCCATTTAAATATCGAATTTACGGATGATCGACATATCGTCGACATATCGTCGACGTACGCATCTCATAAATATTTTTCCTGCCCGACTCGAGGTACGAGCATTACCGTCTCCTATTGTAGCACATGCGTATATTACGCTCCACCTTTATCGAAAGATATCTGAGCAGCGTATCTGTAACAAGATAACGTGCGTCGACTAAAAGTGCCTCGCCTTTGGCCTCACGTTAGTAGGCCCTCTCTTTATTAACCCGTTTTTGTGAAACGAAACAAACCGCACGATAAAAACCAGTCGAAACTCCAGTTGCTGACCAACGTAAACAATGTGATTGAACGTTGTAGTTTTCGCAGTTGCATCGGTACAGAAATCGGTGTGTTGAACAGTGCGTAAAAATAGAGGTTGTTGATTGATCGCCTTCTTTCGGAAGTAAGTTGACAAAGTTTGCTGAAAGTTAGTCGGTAAAACTGAGTTAGTTTCTCGATATTACGAATCGTAAGTGACAAATAATTCACGCGTGAAGTGCGACGAGGATTTTCCAGTGTAGAGGAATTTCATTAAAAATTCCATGAATCCTATGAGACGTCATTGGATGATTCATCGTGACACATGAGTTAGACACGTGAAATACATTACTAATTCGATTACAACTGGTGTTACGTGTACGAATACAGCTAATGTTAGAATTTAATTCTTCAGTTAAAACTGACACGATGCGAAAGAAATATTGGCGAGTTTTTGAGTTACCAAAGTTACCAGTTGTATCACTTTCGTTTAATATCTATGGCATTGTGATAAAATTTGTTATATTTATTATATTGTCATAAAATATAGTTCAGTAGTTCAGTATCGCCTCAATTATCGCGAAGATATTATTGAATATATTATTATACTGGTATTAATATTACAACGTTAAATATTAAATATTAATTTAAAAACGATATGAAGATATTTATAATTAGTATTTAAAAAAGATAAAGATACACATATCATAGTTAATATTCACGAACTATTAAATATTTTAACTCTAGTATAGTATAATTTATTATACTTATCACATTCAATTGATAAATTCAATATTATTAACACAAAAATCAATAATATCAATGCAAACATTATTATGGTGAATTGACCAGAAAAATTAAACGTGGTATTTTAAAATTAAATTGGAAAAGTACTATACGTTATAAAATTTCAATAATAAGTATATCAAAAACAAATTATTATGTTGTGTCCTGTCTATCGACAGGAATTAAATGTCGTATCCTAACGTCACCATAAATTAAAAAAATCCAACAATGAAAATCCATCTTCTTTATTTGTAATTAATTTATTTGTTAACATAAGTAAAAGAAGTTGATTTCATTTTGAAGGAATGACTGTACATCTTCAAGAAGTGATGCGTTCAGAAGTGGACGGTGGTCTGGCTGGTCCAGCAAATCCGATACCGAGCGAGTCGATTGACTGTGGTTGTGGACAATTACCATGCCCGAAATTAGCAAAATTTGCAACCCGACGACTCTTCGTTGGCCTACTGTCATGGGTTGGTTTAATACAAGCTGCTGCTTACGCGTATTTCTACATAACAGGGCCTACGATAGCAAGGAGATTTCAATTTGATCCTTATGTAATGGGCATGTATTTCAATTGTTTTAATTACTTGTCCTATGACTTTTTAAAATTAAAAATTGAAATTTATACGTTTATAGAAACATAATTATGTTTTAATTAGTATCATTGGGCCATTGAGAATCATATGGAGTTAAATTACTTATTATTAGTTCTCAATTTATTTAGAATTTTTAATTTAATTGAATCTCTATCATGGAAAATATAAAATATAAAATAAAATCAAGTGCACCGAATTTGAATAATTTAACATAAATGATTATAGTTATTTACAATTCAACGATATTATTTGAGTATTAAACAAATCGAATCTAAATAAATCTTTTATTTCTTTTGTTAAATACAAGTTCTTCTATCTAAGTTGCAACAAGTATTTAATTTTGGATATTTTATGTATTGTTATATATTATATTAATTTTTTTTGTAAACATACAATTTATTCATTAATATGATAAACTAAAAATTGTTATATTAATTTTAATGGATTATATAATAATTAAATAAATAATTAGGATTGTATAATAATTAAATTTCCTGTAAATAAATATAAATCTACAATCTATTTATCGATATTACGAATTTAAAAAACTCTTATCAATTTTAGTAAATTATAAAATAATTAAATATTATGTAATACATAATTTAAATTCGCAGTTTATTCATTTATATAATAAATTAAAGACTCATCAACTTTAGCAGATTATTATACAATAATTATATAAATTTTGAAAAGTGTTTTTTCGTGTAAAGAGTGAAATTTGAAGAATGAAGATATCACTAAATTACACTAGATTGCTGATTGTTTTGCTTTTATAGGAAATTTTAAGGTAGAACATAGTATGAAAAAAATATATGAATACTATGATATATTAACATAGTATGAATAATATAAATTTATATTATATAACATTTTGTTATATTATATAACATTTACATTATAAAATTCATATTATATTATATAAAAATGTTTATCATATAAAACAGTTTTCTTTTCAAGATTCTATTTTTTAAATTATATTCTCAAAAATACAAATTTGCATGAAAATTTGTAATCTATCTGTTAATTACTCTTCCTGAATTTTGCAGAATGGATACTTGTCGCATCCGATTTGACGCCCTTCGTTTTTGGCGTAATCGTCGCGTATTGGGGTGACAGAATTCATAGAGCTGCATGGATTGGTGGTATAGTTCTTCTGCAAAGTGTTTCGTACTTTATTATGATAATTCCTCATCTAACGCATCAAATCAAAGTTGTCGAAGAAACCGAAAACGTGACGCATATGTCGATATACGCAGGCGAGTAATAAATTGCAATTCCATTCCTTATTTAATCATAATCATACTTGTTATTGATACAATATATGCAACTAAATTTGTTACTCGTATCAATGAATAACTTATTAATTGTTTAGTATTTGAACTTTTACAATTTTCGAGAATATCTATCTTTACTTTATATAATGTAAAATCATTTTAAATCATTTTAAAAAGAAAACAAACTTACTTAAAACAGAAGCTTTAATATAAGATCAAGTGGATCGTTATATGATCTTCTTTTTACGAAGTTATATCAGTTTAAATGATCGACAATTTTTCATTGTCATCGGTACAGTTATGCTCTTCACAAGCAGTGAAGTTTTAATGAAAAACAATTTATTAATCTTCAGGCAGCCATCATTTAAAACGACGTGCAAGGTCTTCGTGATCGTTCTTGATCATTTATATCAGATAGAAAGGAAACATTCCGGTTATTTCTATAAGAAATATTTATTAACTAATTACTAATTATAGTAATAATACAATAAAAAATATAATTAATATAATTAATACAAATACTCGTATAGTATTAAAAATTTATTTTGTATTTGAAATGATAGTGAAATGTATAAACGCAATTCTGAAACTTTCTCATCTTCGTTATTGAAAATTGCGAATTGCATTATTTTTTTCTATGACATTCGTTTTAACTTATCAAAACAAAATAAAAAATTATCAACTTTTCATCAAAAAAATTTCTTCTTATACCCATACAAATCATTTCACATTGTGTCTATAGAATAATGCAATGTTTAAATGTCGTATAGTCTTTTACAAAATTCTGAAATTGCATTATACTATTTTAGTAAAATAATACATGTTCAAATAAGTGAAATGAAATAACATCATAATTGATCAAATGTTTCAATATTTTAATCTCTTCCTAATAGTAACGATTCATTAAATTTAGAATTTTACTTATTGATTACTTTTTATCATGAAGATCTTCAATGTACCAATATTTCTTGCATAAAGATGTCATTTGCTTCAGAAAAATTGTTAATAATTTAAAGGAAAATTCTTACCAAAAAGTGTAATCAACAATAATCAAATTTATAGTAGTGAAAAATCACCATAAAAATCCTTATAAAAGTTAAATCACGATAAATTACAATTTGAATTTAATAAAAATATGTATATTGATTGTATAATATATTAATGTTTCCTTTTCTTCCTTCAAATAAAAAATATTCTTAATTTCAGAAAGATAAAGTAGTGATAGACTATTAAAGTAGTGAAGAACTATTAATAATTACAACTATGTTCTCTTTTACAGATGATAGTCGAGATCTGTGTTCAGACAGTTCTTCTAGAATTGTTGTAAAAGAAGATGAGCCCTGTTATTTCACATTTGCAGCGATCTTCGTTGTACAAATCATATCTGGTATCGCAAATATTGCATACTTTGCATTAGGTGTGTCCTATTTGGATGACAACACAAAGAAAAAACATATAGCTGCTTTTATTGGTGTTCTTATTGCCGTGAAGATTTTCGGTTTTCTTCTGGGATGTATCTTGGCATGGCTTTGCCTTAGGTGAGCATTCAACATAATTAAAATTTTGTTTAATATCTGATAATGTCACAGCATATCTTAAAATCATTGTCAATTATAAATTTCATCCGGAAATATTTTGCTCTAGAAAAAATTTATTTTTCACTATCCAGAAATTAACTAAAATATTTACTTTCTTGGTAGAATATTTAAAGCTCTTGATCTTCTTTAATAATTTTAATACTGTTCACTTAGGTATTTATAATTTATCATACAATAATTATACTTTCTTATAAAGTTGCTATTGCATAATTCTTTTAATACTAACCCTCTTAATATCTTATAATTTTTTCATGTAAATAAAGCTCAATAAAACACACATATTTTCTTTTGTAAATGGTAATTGTATTATATAGGCTATAGTATAAAAGTTTTCGTTACATTCTTTATTGCATATGAAAAATCGAAATGTTATATCGATTTTTGGTTACTAAGAGGGTTAAATAATTATATGTTATTAAATTAGCCATGAACTTAAAATCAACGTTCTATTAAAATGGTGCAGAATTTTATGAGGGCACGAACTTTGCTAATATTCAGAGTATTAGATAGAATATATTTTTTAATAATAATGTCTATATAATACACTACTAGAAGTAAACTGTTGAACCAGAATAAATTTTAATTTTATTACTATTATCTTTAATATTTATTGGCCATATTAACAAGTTTATTAAAGAGCAAACTACATATCTTCTATTTCTTAATTTACTATAATCTACATTCTCTTGCAATATATTTACAATTATATTATATTCCATAATCAATGATTCTTTATTAACTTTATTATTTTTCATAATCAATTCATTATAAAGAATTAATCCTGTTCATAATTTTCAATAATTCGATGTACATCATTTGAAATTACATAGTAAACTAATATTGAAAATATACAAATATTTTACTTATATTTTATTGTATTTTACATAAATTCGATTGCATACTCCATAAAAAATATTAAGAGTTATCGAATACCATTGTTTTAAGAATAATAAAAGTCAAAATAATCTTATCCAGAGTGATAGTATTACTCAAAATTCAAAATAGTTATATATAATTTACTTATAATACATATATTCAATTCTTTCTGAAAATTCTTGTTGTTACAGAGTTGATTCAGAGACTTTGAATCCTATAGAATCTTATAGAGAACAAATCGGTGCATGGTGGTTAGGATTACCAATTTTAACAATATTACTTATTGTTCCTGGTTTACTTCTTTCATGGTTCCCTCGAATGTTACCATCTGAGGTAATTGACTGATCATTTTCACTTATTTAATTATTGGACTACGGATTTTTACATTTGTAGGAAACTTTTAAATGCAATATGAAAATATAAAAATATGAAAAGTTTTAAATACACAGAATATAAAAAAATACATTAAATGTCCAAAGTATAGTTCGGTACATAAAATAAGATTGTTGTCAAGATTTTACTTTTTCAATTACATTTTTAAAAAATTGAATTTACATAAAAATTCATAGTCTGTTAATCGTAGTTAACATGAATAATCATTTTTACTTCTTAGTAATAATTTTACTAATAAGTGAAAAGATTTAATTATTAATTAATAATTAAATAATATTTAGCTTAATAATTATTAACGCTTATAATACTAAATTAATAATACTTAAATATATTTAATATTTGATTAATTTCTCAATATCAAATAAATATTAAATTAATAATTAGTGACATTTAATATATATTTTGAATGCAATTAAAACTTAATAAAAGGATATTCATTGAATTAGGTTGTCGAAAAAGCTGCTGCCTCTTTATTAAACATTTCTAACAATCAAAATCGAACGCCTCGGAGGATGGTTAGTCAGAAAGTTGGTAGTTCTAATTTCTGGCCATCAATAGGTAGATTGTTCAGTAATAAAATATTGCTTTGTCAAGTTATTGCTTGTACCTTTTATCTTATGGCCATTACGAATTTCATTGGTTTCGAGAATCTTATTGCGCAGTCGAGATTTCATGTACCGAAACCAACTGGAATGTTACTCGGTTTCGAGGATCCAGTTTCGTCAAGATTAATATCAAGTAAGATATAAATTTTATTTTGAAACATGAAAATATTTATATATATTATAATAAATATATTATGTTATATTATTTATATATTTTAGAATTAAATTATTAAATTTGTTACTAGATAGAATGTCGAAGAAATAATTTTTATAATACATAAATATAAATATAAATATATATATAGTTGTATTGTCTAATATATTAATTATATTTAATTATATATATATATATATATATAAGGATATATTATTTAATATATTATTATTAATACATTATCTACAATTTCAGATATCTTGAAACCTGTTCTTGTTGGCTTAATCGTGATTGTTTCTGGTTTAGTTATTGCAAAAGCGAAACCTGGCGCTAAATATGTTATTGGTTACGGCATTGTCGTTGTACTTTTAGCGTCTGCAATTATATTTTCATTATCTGCTACAACTTGTAAGAAAAATCCTATTGTTGGCACAACTAAAAGAGGATCGTAAGTACATTACACTTGACAAATGAAATAATATTCAATAATATTGTGACTAAATTGCAGATCTATGTATAATTTTATATCTTCATGAACATTAAAATTAATTTTTTGTATCAAGTATATGTAATAATAAGTTTATTATGTTTTTTTATGTAAATTTATTAAGTTTATTTAATAATTTTATTAAATTCATTTCTTTTAGAAATGTTTATTATATAGATTTTTGTATCTTGAAATTTCCCAAAATTACATAAACGTCCGTAGTTTAATTATTAATTTTCGAACATATTTGTACAAAATGATAATGCTTGTTATTACTTCAATATATACAAAATGATAATGCTTGTTATTACTTCAATATACATTTTTTTAGCCTCGTCTTGCTGAAGTATTGCAATAGAAATTGTGGTTGTTCGAACGATGCTGACTTCCGTCCTGTCTGCGATAACAAAGGCACGTTCACCTTCTACAGTCCTTGTCATGCTGGATGCACTTCTTTCGAACTTAGAAATGGCATAACGACTTACAGTGGTTGCAGTTGCGTAGGAGAAATGACGGGAGCTGAGAAAACGGAAGCGATCGACGGACCTTGCACCTCAAACAACTGTCAAGTTAATTGGATACTTTTTGAGGTGAATATTTTATTGTTCTTTGCGATAGTATTTGTACAGATAGAACCTCCCATTCCAATGTTCAATTAATTAATATACTATTAGTTGGTTGGTATTTATTAGCAATAAATGTACAGTGCAGTTAAACATTTTTAGTTAAATGAAAGATAGAAGAATGATTCAATTTATTGAATATTTAATCGAATTAGAGATAAAAAGAATTATTATTTTATTACGAAAAGAATTGTATTTAGCAGTTATATATTTTGAACAAGAAAATATTTTATGCAATTAGCATAGTAGATCTATTTATAATATAATAAAATTTTTTTAGTGCAAAATTGCATAAAATACATTTGATGTGAAGAATTACATAAATCATCCAAAGTATAGTGTCTGCTGTTATATTTGATACCTTTGTGTGTACAACAATTTTCAGTATTCAAGCTTTTTAATTACATTTCCAAAAATTTAAATTCACTACGAAAATTTATCAATCTAATGACTTTACAAAATAAAAATTAGAATAAGAATTCCTTTGCAAACATGTGTTTTTCTCTTCTTCAGTTTGGAAGTCTGTTGGCGTGCTTATTAGTTGCCTCGACTTTTGTGGGAGATTTGTTAATAATCTTGAGATCAGTGAACGTGCAAGACAAGGCTATCAGCATAGGCTTTTGGATGACATGGTTCGCTATATTCGGGAATATTCTTGGAAAAATTCTTTACGATATGATTGCGAGTCTAACGTGCCAATATTGGGGAACTCAAAGAACTTCGTGTCGTCTTCACGATGGTCTAAAGCTTGGCAACTATTTGTCCTATATGACAGGTTCACTATTAGCCCTATCCGTTATATTAAAAATCCTAGTGTGGATCTTCAGCAGAGATTTGGAGTTTTATGTTCAGAAAGAAGAACAGCCAACAGCAATAACTGAATTGAGAGAATTCGTTCGCAATCCTGACACTGTGTCCAATCAAGAAAACAGACAAACTGATCCTACCTGTAACAGTAAGTACTTATAATATTTTTCATATCCACTATTATACAGATACTTAATTTTTCATTGTGATCTGTCATGAGACCAAATCAAATCATAGAGATTCAGTTTCAATCTAATCCTAGATCAATAAAACTACTTTTTTCTACGAATTGATATTCTCGAAAATAATTGTCATTTAATTTAAAACCACCTCAAAATATACACAACTTGAAACTGTCATTGGTCAAAAAAATATTTAACTTTTTATGTAACATCATGTTTAATATAATTTTAATATAATATTGACTTGATGTTACTTGATTTATTTTTTATATACTGATCTATTAATTAAGCAAGTAATACATAAGGATTGAGAAATAAATAAAAATTAACATATTATTTCAATAAATAATGTATTAGGTGATGCACACGAATTGTTGTTACTCTAAAGTTAAATTTAAATTTAATATTATTCAATACATTTAGAAAGTAATTTTCTATAAATCATTTACATTCAATGTGCAGAATATTTACAATAAAAATATTAAAACGACAGCAATATGCGAATTTTTAATGCATTTATAAGAGATTGAAAGTTAGTAAAATTGCACACAATGTAGATACATTGTCTATGTGCAAGAATATAAAAAATATTCAAAATAAAGTACATATAGCAGATAAAATAAATTTCTATTTAGATTCCATTTCTTCATAATTTATAAAAATTTTAACATACATAAAAATCCGCAGTGTAATATTTATGAATAATCAGTACCTTTGTTTTAATTTCATATTTATTCATCTCTTTAATTTCATAAATTTGAAAATTACGTTATGAAAATTGTAATGTAAGTACTTAAAGAAGATTAGGAATATACTATCTCTCAATTAAAATGTTATTTACGTATAATGATTGTAGCAAAAGAATTAAATTAAAATTAACCTTCTCTAGATGATACACCAGTCCGAGTAGAAATCACGAACGAAGAGTTTAAAAAATCGACAAGATCTCTGAACGATGATCCACCGAAGGAAACAGAAGAGAGACAAAACGAAGGAACAGCGATGCTGAAGTACGGTCCTATTGGTCCCGGTGATCGGCGAACGGATTCGAAATCGTCACTGAACCAAACATCACAAAGTCAAAAGTCCGCCATTCGAAACTTGGATTCGGAAGACGAGCTGAGTTCCAGCGACGAAGAAAGTAGAAAAGATTCGACAACAAAAGTGGCCTACAGGCCGTTGGATCTCGACTCGGATGTGGAAAGTGATTTGAGCAGCGTGGAGCCAAGATCGCGAAGGCGTATCACGGGAAAGGAGTATGAACCGGTTTATAACAGCGATCGGAGCTCTTCGACCAAGAGCTCACCCTTCAGACGCGAATTTCCCAATCCGGACAACTACGATGACCCAAGAAAAATGAGACACGTGGATGGTTCCTCGAAAACTAGTAGTTTCGAATTCTCGAGGAAGAGGCAAGACGATAAACTACAGAGGAAAGGAGATTTCAACGAAGTTGGTATACCGATAATGGATCCTCCTGTTGTGCGTTCCATCCCGAAATGTGTGAAATCACTGATCGATCGGTACGAATTGAACGCTGAACAGCAAACTGGGGAGAATCAAGAATCCGTGAGTGGGAACGGTACTCATTTGGAAAGTAAAATAGGAATTCCGTTGGTGGCCATGGCGCCGAATAGAGCTTCTTCGAGAAGTCAATATTCATCAGGGTTCAGCAGCTTAACGGATGGTAGGATCGTTGAAAATCGACCCGAGTCCCGTGAAAGCGTCAGCCCAAAAGTATCTAACAAAGGTAGTATAGAGATATTGCACACTGATTTTTGATGTAAAATTACAATATTTGGAAATTTTATACGAAAATTTATAAAAACGGTTTAATTTATTTGGGTCAGACGTTGGATTTTTAAGATCGACCCGATTATTGCGAAGAAGTCAGCATATGGCGCAGATGTTGCTTTTATTAGGCATATAGTTAGTATTAGTAAGAAAAGAACGTTGCAAACGATCTAATGTACAATTATACCATTTTTCAGTTCTTTCTTCTGAAATTTTATATAAAAATCCATAAAAAATACTTAATTTATTTAACACTTTTGGTTATTTTTCTTTGTCCATTCGATCATATTTTTGTACACATAATTGTCTATAAAGCATTAAAGTATACAAATAAGTTGTTTAATCTAAAGTGCTCTTCTTACATTTTATATTCTTATATTTTTAGAAAATTTATTTTACTGAACTACAGCATCGACTGGAACATGACGTGAATCTTTGAAATAAATATATTCAAGATAAAATATAAAAGAATCAATTGAAATATTTTTAATAAATAATTTGAGAAATTATTTATTAAAAAGGAGAAGAATTTAAGAAATTATTTTATATGATAGCTTGAAATAAACAATCTTACCTAAAATTTAAAAAGAATGGTCAAAAATTAATAAATATTATCAAAATATATCTTATGATTCTTGAAAATTAAATTCTCTATATAAAAAAAAAAGATGTAATTTAAAGACAAAAAATATGTTAAATCATTTTTCTTTTATTGGAAGGAAACTAAATAAATTAAATAAGTTAGATATATTTTTTCCAAGATTTTTTAAGATCAATGGTACTTTTTAATATCAAAGTATATAATATATAACATGGATGTAGTATATAGAAAAAAGTAATAGAAAGAAATATTCTTTTACTATATCTTAAAAGTGAACAATAAGGTGCAATCCATCATTTAAAATGTTAAACTTATCTTGAATACTAAATAAGTGATTAAGTTTTAAAACTGCTGCGACAAAAGAATGTTTAGAATATTTGCAAATGTTTAGAAAAATATAGAATATTTTTTTATTGATAATTATTGAACATATTTTTTTATTGATAATTATCTATTGAAAGAAATGAAAACAGTGTCTGACAAAATACTATTGTTACAATCAATTGAAATTTATTGTTTCCAAATATATAGTTTAAATCTGAAGATAATTGGATGATGATTTTCAATAAAGCTGTGTTACATTTACCATATTCTAAAATAACTCGGTTTAAAGTTTTAAACAGGTAAAATACTCTCTTTTTTCTATTTCATATCGAGTTCTGATAGAATATTTATAACTTGTGTACAAATTAAAACATTCTCCGGAGACTGTGGAATCATGCTATACTGTTGACCGATTTTGATCAAAATGCAACATGGACTCTTATTTAAAGTTACCATTCAATTAAAAATAATTCGAAATTAGTGAAAAATTCCATTGGTGTTATTTTACCTTCAGTAATCTATGGGTAGTAAAAGAAATATAAAATATATGTATATCAGTTACAATTTTCATTGATTTCAACCAAATCAGTCAGTTCGAACAAATTTCAGTTAAATGTTTCATCAACGACTTAAAATTATAATTTTTAATTATAATTATAGCATTGAAACATAAGCGACCAACGTATGTAACTATAAGACAAATAATCACTGATAAGATTCAGCGAAAAGTGAAACGATTAAGATAAAATATGATCACTTATCACAGAAGTATTTTATATTTAGTTTGATAATTCTTTTATAATTTTTTATCTCTTTAGCAGTCGACATGAAATTTATATCTATTATCAAGTGAAACGATTATATTACGTCAAAATTGATAAAGCTCAAGAGAAAATTTATGATACATCAAATATAATCTTCTTTCATTTAAAACTAAAATATCAGTTCATTAGTAGACTGCGGATTTTTATGCAAATTTATATTAAATATAATTAAACGAATAGAACCTCAATTGAAAATTATTTTACATATCAAATATTAATATACTATGGAAAACAGGTTTCGCCACTATTTGAATAAAATATTTGAAAAATGATTATTCAAATAGTTATTTTAATGTAAATAATTAATTCAAGTAATTATTTTAAACAAATCTTTTATTTGATAGAATGTTATGTTGAAATAATCTTACGTTAACTATTTTAACAAGCAAATAATTTGTCTCCCAATTATTTCATCAAATAAAATAATTTTTATTTTGTATTATATTTTGTATTTGATTCTACAAATATTCACCTTGGGGTGGGATTATCTATTATTTTATTTCAATGAATTAAATTAAATGAAAGACCATTTAGAAACGATTTATCTGATAAAATTACTTTTCATATATTTTTAAAATGAAAATAATAAATTAATAAAAATTATTAGTTATTTCAAATTGTTGAATTTTATCTTTATTTGAAACAAAATTTGTTCAATCTTGATACTTTTAGATAGTTCACATATTTTTTCATATGTGCATTCTATCCAACTTTACATTTGAAAATTTTCTATAAATACATAAAAATCCACAGTTTATTAGAAAACAAATAGTTTAAATTTGTAGCATAGATAATAATTTAAATTTAGTTATGGTATTTAAAAAAAATACAAATTGATATAATTGATTTTCTACGAATATGTGATTATCAAAAATAAAATAAAAATTGATAAAAATTTGATAATGTATCAAAGAAGACTGTATAACCACATAATTAGTTTAATTTTGTAACACTGCCAATAAATGAATTAAAATAAAATTAAACATCATATATAGAAATCAGATTCTTTTTTATACAGTAAGCAAAATTGTAATGAAGAATATTTATATTAATAATAATATTTATAATACTAATGAAGAATATTTTAAACTATTGTTACTGTTGTTATTTTTTCACTTAATTCGTACGACATACGAATACAAAAACAAAGAATAATTTCATTGTTCAATCCTTGTGTCATATGGGCAAACAATTCATTTTTAGAGTGTTTTTCATAATTTTATTTTAAATTTTTTAATTTCGAAATCAAATAAATATCGAAAGTATTGTTTATCAAAATATGCCAATATTATATTGATATCTGTGTATAAAAAAAAATTAAGAGTCGTCGATATTTCGTTGATATCCACGCTGAACGCGTTCGAACCGAGTATACATGCACTTGATCAAACTTCAATCTCGATTTTCTCAAAAACTTCTTTTCCTTTTGCTCGCATTTTCTACTCAATACAGTAGTATATTTTTTCTTTCCTTGTCTACGATATTGAAAAAGTGATTCAGTATAAATCCTGAATTGTAATTGGAATTGGACATGCTTGTACATTTAACGTCACTATCGTTGGAATCGCAAGATAAGCTTGATTAAAACACACATTGGTGAATTTCAAAACATTGGATTTCGTACGGGCCATGACTTATCACTTGTAGAACTACGGAACTATCATATGCACTAACCTTACGATCTCAAAAATATTCGCCAGATAAACCCAAACACTTTTTACTTACAGACCAGATCAGAGTGAAACACAGCTCTACAATAGTAACTATATACTAGCTATATTAGTATTTACTGTAGTAACTATATACTAGTTATAACAGTAAATAATGTAATAACACATTGACATATTGGAAGCATTTGTCGATGCAAATGCGAATAAGAAATAATGAATAAAGATCCAATTAATTATTCATTTGTTACTTTTGTTCAAATAAAATTTTATTCATTTGAACATTGGAATAAAGCAAATAAAACATACTTTGATTATAATTATAATAACAGAAATAACATTTTATACACTTTAATGTGCCCATAATAGCATTTTTATAGTAATTTTCGTAATTGTTCTTATTAATTCTTATCAATTTCTTTTATCGATAAATAACTCAAGCAGGGGCACTGTTTGAGTAAGATATTTGAAAAATGATTATTTCAAAAACATATTATATCATTTGACTCGATATTGTCTTGAAGTAATTCTATATTAGTTTGTTTCAACGAGCAAATGATTTTTCTCGAAATTATTGCATTACTTGGCTATGTAAATGAAATAATATTTTATTTCATCTTGTACTTTATATTTTTATTTTGTACGTATAATTTCTCAAATAGTTTCTAATTTTTATCTTCTGCTGGGATTGTTTGTTATTTTATTTCAACCAATTCAAATAGAAAATTATTTGCAAATAGTTCATCCGATCTAGACTTGATATAAACTTACTTTTCAAATGAAAATAATACATTAATGGATTTATTATTTCAAATTGTTATTTTTTATCTTCATCTCGAATATAGTTCAAAGCCCAATCTTGAAACAAATATGAGAAATCTTTTTTTTTCAGAATCTGTACAACTGTAATTAATAAATAAATTAGCGTTTACTAAATATTTCAAATCTCTGTTTCTCTTTGCAATATTTATTTGCAAATGCACGAAAATATTTGCACATACGATGAAAAATTTATAACTTCGTGGGAAAGAATCAACGTGAAATATTTACCTTGAAAATCATAAGCTCGCTTTTCTCAATGATCATGCAGAGAAGCAAGGATATTTTTATTTTCCAAAATTGTAAATTTTGTTCAAACGTTATAGGAAATTTAGTTTTTAGTAATTGAACCTATCATAATCTTGAAGAATAAATGAATCTTCCTTTTACAACAATTTTTTATAATGCTCTTTTTATTTTTTACTTTTTGCCATTTCATTGAACTTTGAATTGAATATTAGAATTTCTTATATTTTTGTTCTTTAACCTTGATATTCAAAGTTCAATAAAACAGTTCAATAAAAATTGTACAACAAATATTAAAACGCCTATGTTCAAATAAAAATTCAATCCTCAAGATCATAGTAAATTTAATCAGAAAATGATTTTTTTTTTCCTTGATTTTGAAGATATTCATATAATGGAAACAAAAGTATCCTTATCTCTCACCTATTATATGATGTAAAAACATCTTTGGAAGAAACGAACTTAGCTCTTTTTTTAGAGTGAAACCTTTACGCTTTAAAATTAAGTCAGATTGTTGTATAATTTTTTCCCATAAAGTTATAAGAATTTAAAATATCGATAATGTACGAATATTTTTGTCCATCTCTGTATGTAAATTTTCTCGAAGCACCTTTTGTTTAAAATATTTCAACTTTCAATTTTTGCAATTTCGCCCTGTATATTATTCTTTTTTAATTTAAAAAACAAGGAACTACTAAACAGTAACTTTCTGAATAATACATCAATTGTAAATAAAAATTACAGATATAAATAAAATTATTTTATTAAAAGATATATTGTTAAAATTAATATTTTCAAATAATATATTGTTCAAATTAAACTTTCAACATACTAAGTTTCTATTTCAAATTGAAATTGTCTAATTCATTGTTTGTTTCATTGTCATTATATTTTTATCGACATGTTAGTGTCAAAATATTTTTATTAAGTTGTTGTGCAAATAAAAATTCAATGTACTTGAATCTTTTGTTACTACTTTTATTCATTTCCTTTTCCTTTAACGATTTAAAAAATAAATTGACAGATTATTTGTAACCAACCGAAGCTCGATATTAATACGATGTTAATTTCAATAACGCTTCGACGTTCGCATTCGAGTTTATATTACGTAAATTAGTCTGTTTCGAGTAAAAAATAAATGTGTATATAATTATGTTCGAGTAGATTTTCATCTTAATATTATTCGAGAACATGGCAACGCTTCGTCGATTTGAAGAAACATATAGTTTTAAGAAATACATTACGTTATATCGTTCAATCGAAAGTTAAATAACCTCCTTTCATCAATAAATTCAAATTTAATTTAATTTAATAATTTTTAAACTATATTTCATACACGAAAGTACACACATGCTTATGATTAATTGGAAAATCTCATACTGGCGTGAGTCCTTTTTACATTTATATATTCTTACGCAGGAGGGTTTCAGGCTTCTCATAAGTGATGAGAATTATTTATTAATCATGATAGTAAAACAGTGAATAGAGAATAGGGAACAGTGAGACGTGAAATTCATTTTTCTTCTTCAAATGCCGTGCCTCATGAGCGAACTAATCAACAGTAAGTTCTATCTGAGGTACTACGAGCGTTTAAATATCCAAGAAGTTGCTTAAGGTACTTGTAAAGTCTTTATTCGTCGGCTCTCCTTTTTTCTCAACATTTCCATCTGTTTTTTTTTTTTTTTTTTTTTTTTTGGTTTCTTCTTCACCAATGACTTCGCCTTTCGACCTTTAACTTCACCTGTCCTTGGAATGAAGCGATCTGAATTCGATCGTTGGCTGTTCACTTTCAAAGTGTCTCCCCTGGTTCTTCGGCTATGTCTTTCAGCTCAATCTCCTCGTCGAAGATTTTCACGTCTTTCACGAAATACCAAACACCCACGTCGAATAAGGTGCCGATCGTTACGAACGCTGTTGGAAAAAAAAAAAATGATTGTGATGCAAATAAATTTATTTTTAAAAAATTTTATTATTACTTGACTGCAAATCTTTGCTTCAAGATTTCACAATATTATCATATATTCTTGTTATTCTATAAGACATTGAAAACTAATTTAGAAATATTGAAAAAACGACAACTGCAAAACTTATTATAAAAATTATAGAATCTTCGTCATTGTAGGTCAGCCAAGATGTTTTCGTTTAACCCTTTGAGTTAATAAAATAATTTATTTATTCAAATTTCATATTGAATAAATTTATCAAAAGAAATGTGTTTAAAGATGAATGCATTCTTAATTTATTATATGCTCTTCATTTAGTATTAAACATTTAGGCTTTTTAGACTTTTAAATAGTATTGGCAATAGTAAAGTTTATAATATTATTGTATTATAAACTTTAGATTCCTAAGGTTTTTAATCATATGATTCCCAAGTACAGTAAAAGAATTAAAAACGTTATGATAACAAGAACAAATTTAAAAAATTAATCTGAATTCAAATTTTCAAACTAAATTAAATAACAACTTACTGGCTGCGGTAAAGTTTAGTAGATATCTCAATGTTTCTCCGTTATAGAGCCAACAATTTCCTGTACCCGAACATGTTTTCCCCCAAACAAGACAGGTTTTATCTGTAGAAATATTTGTCTAATTTTTAGTTGAACAAATGACAGGCGCACATTAAATAAAAAAAATGATAATTTATAAACGAAATATAGAACTATTGCTTTAAATTGTATGGAATATAATTACTTGGAATTACTTTAAATTGTATGATCAATTTCTTATAAATTGAATATTATTTACAGTAATATAGTGAATTTAAAATTCATTAAATTAGAGTCATAAATTAAATTTGTACAATTCAAGAATAATTTCTGTATTGTAACAATATGTCATGATATAACATTTTATTTATTCGTCTTCATATATTTCATGATTAATAATTAAACATCATTTTTAAATTGCGTTTTTACTATCTTTTTTTTCTAAAGCTTCAGATTATAAAAGAAATTCAATAAATATAATTATTAACCATTGATATTGTAAGAAGTAATCTATGAAATATTCTATAAAATTCAAAATTACTATAGATGAATTATTTTGATTTTTCAGCTTCTTTAAATCAATATAAAATTTACTATTGTAAAATACTATGTTATTATATTTATAATATTACATTAAAAATTGTGAAAAATTTAATATTCTGAAACCAAATGATCTTGAAAATCTAATCACCATTCTTATTTTTGTTACAATTTATATTAAATTCAGTTTGTATATATTTAAATTAAACATAGATTTTCATAAAAACAATATATATATAAAACATCTAATCAATTAAATATTAATTAATGTATGAAATTAAATATATATATTGTATTAATTAAATATAATAATGTATTATAGAATTTTATAAAATTTATATCCGTAAAATATATTAACAAAATAAGGAAACATCTCATATTCCATAGTAGTATAATATACTACCATTATAATAGTATCTATTGATAACAATATTATTTATATTATACTGTAGCATTCTATAATATCGTAATATTATAAAATACCTAACATTATGTTATTACTCCTACTATTATATTACTAGTATATTACTATTATATTACACCAAACTAGTATAGCAATATAGTGTAATATACTCGTATATGTATTACATAATATATATTTAATATAATACAATACTTATATAATAATAGATATTATTACAATATTATGTTTATATTACGAGCACTACTAACATATTAGTTTAAATTAATTCTCTTACCTAAAATAAATCCAAACAAAATAGGAGATGGTATGAATGCAAATAAGCTCATAATAGTTAATCCGAAACCCATAGCCACTGTTTTATCCTTCTCATCAACGCATCTAACGGAAACTAAAAAGTTTGATGCTCTTCCAGTGGCTCCACTGAATTTCAGCAGACAAACCACAGCCAGAAAAACGTAAAATTTGTGCATGCAATCCACGGGACATGCTCCCGGTACTGCGGTACCCAAAGGAACTGAACCATTGGGTTCTGGACTCTCGAACGGATCTTCCGTTGTGTGTATCGAACTGTTGTTCGCGAACAAAAATGGCAAACGTGCGAATTTTGATTTAATACAACTGCACTCCGTGTACGTCTTACTACCATTCGTCTGTATCTAAAAAACATTGTAGAAATATGACAATTATGTACTTATTGTTAGCAAGATTGGTAAATTGTTAAAATTTGAAGTTAAATTGAAGTTAAAATTAGCTAATTATTAAAATTAATTTAAAATATTGAATTATCTCATTCAGATAAAGAAAAGAAATAAGCTATGTCCATCTTTAGTGATTCAACGACATATATCTTATTTTGTTGATAGCAACTCAGATTGCTGAATTATAGAAGAAACATTCCTTATTAAATAATATCGAAAATTTGACATCTTAGAAATTTATTTCATTAATCTAAGAACGAAATAGGAAATGCCTATATTTTTTACATTTTTACTATCTCTAATTGGTATAAGTATGCATTGTATCGAAAATAATAAAACAAGTGAGAGAAGAAAGGATGATCTCAATTATGCAAGTTTAATTGTAGCCATTTTTCATATACAAAATGATTTTCTAATTTTTTCTTAGTCCTCTGACCTATCTTACGTTTTTCGATGAAATAATATTATATCCATCTTATCATTCTCACACTACCATTTTCATATACAATCTATTTTTTTAAATATATCTGTTTTTAATATTAACTTACTTCAGCTTGTTATAAAAAATGATACGACACAAAAGATAAGTATATTTAGAATATTTGTTTCTTTTTACTGGCCTTATAATTTCTGATAATTGAAATTTTACTATCTGGGTATTAATTAAACAGTTCAGTATTCTTTATTTTTATAACAATAGAAATGCATATTTTTCTTTTTCCATTATTTTATAATACCAACTAAAATAATATAACTTCTAGACAAATTAAAATAATATATAACAATTATTTCTTTATGCATCTAGTAAAAACATAAACTTTACTATAGAAACTACTATAATCCATTAAACCGTGCTCTCGATAACTATCTTGTCCCATTTCTTGTTCTCCGCTCTTAATCTTAAATTATATTCACAATTCGAATCTTAAATAAAATCGTAAGAAAGCCAATCGTGATATAATGAAAGCTTTCAATGAGAATGTTAATCCTAGCAGCAATTCAAACCATAAATAGTAATTTATATTAGATTCTTAAAATTTAGAGTTTTTAATTTTACTTTTTTATGTCCTCCGTGAGAGAAGTTAGTAATAAAATTCAATTATATTAAAAATTCCAACACTACGTAGTGTATTTAAATTGTTATACTTTCTAAGGGCCCAATAATACCAATAAAAGAGTTTTTAATTTTACTTTCTTTATTCTGTGTCCTCAGTGAGAGAAGTTAGTAATAAAATTCAATTATATCAAAAATTCCAACACTATGTAGTATATTTAAATTGTTATACTTTCCAAAGGGCCAATAATACCAATAAAAGAGTTTTTAATTTTACTTTTTTTATTCTATGTCCTCAGTAAAAGAAGTTAGTAATAAAATTCAATTATATCAAAAATTCCAACACTATGTAGTATATTTAAATTGTTATACTTTCCAAAGGCTCAATAATACCAATAAAATATTTTTAATTTTACTTTTTTTATTCTATGTCCCCAGTAAAAGAAGTTAGTAATAAAATTCAATTATATCAAAAATTCCAACACTCTGTAGTATATTTAAATTGTTATACTTTCCAAAGGCCCAATAATACCAATAAAAGAATTTTTAATTTTACTTTTCTTATTCCACGTTCTCAGTGAGAGAAGTTAGTAATAAAATTCAATTATATTAAAAATTCCAACACTACGTAGTATATTTAAATTGTTATACTTTCCAAAGGCCCAATAATACCAATAAAAGATCAAATTTATAAAATACCTTTATATTACGACATCCGGCGTGACATCCTGAAATGAACGTCTGACCATGCTCCGAACAGACGGGATTATAAGTAACGTAATCGCAGTGGCATTGTTCATTACACGGTAGCAGAGTCTTCAGGGCGCCGTCTGGTTGAACCGTAATTTGGTTATCGTTAGCGGAACAGCCGAGGAACGCGTAGGAAATCATCCCCACGATCGATATTGCTCCCACCATCACGTTCCACGCGGCCAGATATCTAGCCTTCGGTTTATACTTGGAGATAACTAATCCTGATAGAAGAATTCCAAAGGCGCTGAAGACCAAACCGACTGTTCCGGTAATCAAGGAGGAAACGGAGGCTGACTGTTTGTACTGGGTTTCGATGTACTTCGGCATGAAGATCCAGTACGGCATGTATCCCATGAAATAGAAAACGGTTGCCAAATTATTGCACATTAAAGTGATGTTTGTCAATAGCCTTTTAAACGTCCTCATCATGTCTGAGAAGGATGCGGGCAACTCTGGTTCTTCATCCTCCTTTATGCTGGTTGCCGATTTGTTTCGTTCCAGCGCTAGAGCCTTACGGGCTGCGGCTCGGGGCAACGTTTTAGGGAAAAGCGCGATGATGCTTGCGAAGATGAAAAGAAGGAACGCCAGGATGATCCAACCGAGCCACCAGGCACCTAGCCACCTGTTGGCGTTTTGGGAATGAATAAGTTTGCTTTGTTGAACGAATCTTACGAGTAATGTTGTTCCGAGGGTTGCAATTGATTGAAATTCTAGGAGCTTCAATGGAAAACGAAATATCAATAAAAAAATTTAAAAATATTTAAGAATATTATTATAATGGATATTATCATTATGGGAATTTTATGAAATTGAAGAAGAAAATTTAATTTTTTTAAAGGGATGGAAAATTAATTATTTTCGAAAATGGAAAAATTCGTTGCTAGTCAATCTGCAAGAAATAATTTCTTATTTTCGTTTGGAAACCATCGCAATACTTGTGAAATGACCTAATACTAGGAAATTTAATTATTTAATTACGCACATTGTATTATACATAAAAGAAAAAAAATTATTGTTAAATTTATTTCGTGCGATATTAGTTACTACGTTATTTGCGTAGTATAATTATTTCACACAAATGTTTTGTAATATATAAATGAAATTATTTAAACTACTAGTACTTTATATTGCTATTATATAAAATAAAAGTATTCAAAACCATGATATTTTCCCCATAACAATTAATATTAACGTCATTTAATATAATTGAATTCTTCTATTGCTATTTTGTTTTCTGTGACATACATATAATTCAACTTATAATTATACTGAGTTGCGTATCTTCATAAGCCAGAATTTAACTAAAATTACATCAATACATATATGTATACTAATTAAAATTCAGATTGTTTACTAAATTCAATCGATTATTAAAATATTAACACGACAAATATGTCAATTCTTTTTATCATAATGAATCCATAATAGTAAAATAAATCGAAAATGTAAATGATATATGTAATAGCTCATCATTTTCATCACTTTCGTACCACAACGTGATTTAATTCTTTTATAACAAATCTATATATTTAAAATAAAATTAAATAATTCAACGCGTTTCGAAACAGGTTTCTTTTCTACTATTCTCTCTCAGTGAATTTTGTAACAATGTTATTTTCTATCAGGAAAAAAATCTAAAATGTTTTTAACTACGCGTTCCGAAATTATTTTGAATTCGAAGTTAAATAAGGTATTATAATTTAGCATACCTTGGATCCTGCGTCGTAATCGTTGGCGTCAACGAAGGACTGATGTAGAATTTCAGGGAAAACGAAGCCAGACCATAACCAATAGCCGGTCCCAACATTCTTAAGAAGTATGAAAAACTGATCAAAGCTGGTGTCTTTGATTTTTGTATGTTGTCGTCCATGTAGGATACTCCTAAAGTATAATATAACGAGCCACCGACTCCTGATACCAATTGTGCTATAAACAGCAACACCTGAGGCGCGAAATTTCCATCAGCGTCCTCGCATTCGTTTTCTCGGCTCTCGTTCCCGAAACATAAGAACTTCCGATATTTATCAGGTATCTGACTCGAATTTGCAATTTGTGGTTTCGCCCCATATTCTTTTGTGAGCAGAAGGGCGTCTTCTCCGGGACCGTACAAAAAATGCGGCAACATCGTTAAACAGCAAAAGAGAACCACCTAAAGAACAGAGCAAATAAGTATTTAAGTATTTAAGTATTGTTGCTTCTTTCTCAAATTTGTTTGATTCGTGAATTTTTTTATATCAGTTTGATTAACTAGAACGACGATTGAATTTGTATCAATCTGATTAATTAAAATGATTTTCGAGAGGGATGAAGCGTTACTTAAAAAGTGATTCGTGATTAATACTTTTTTAGAGTACAATATGATTACTCTTGGTAATAAGTGAAATTTAGTTTCCTTTTATATTAATTTCCTAATGTAAACTTATATTTATATAAACTTATACTTGTATTTATATAATATAATATAAACTTATATTTATATTATATTTATATTTATATTTATACAGTACTTTACAACTTAATATTCAAACTATAATAGTATCAGAAAAATTGGGGAAATTAGGAATAGAAAAAGAAATTTATGACACAATAAATATTATTAAATAACCACTTGCACTCGATAGTGTAATGCTAGCATAATTTTTTATAGATTAGCCATTGGAGATGCTTTTCCTTATTTTTGAAAATATTCTTTGTTTTAGAAAACAAATCTATCAATTATAATGACTCTGTAATAATTTAAAATAATTACTTTGTACATATCTATTATAGGTGACAACACTATTAATCATTGCGTAATAAATAACATAAAGTTGATAGATAGCAACATTAAATTGTTTCGTAAACATAGGGTTAAATAACTTTAAATAAACAAAAATTTGTTAACGAATTATTTGATCGTAATGAATGAAACAAAATTATTATGAATTATTATGGTTATAAGTAAAACAGAACATAATATTGAATTTCTTATTTGCAGAAATTTTATATTTTTGAATAGTTAGTCACTGTTACGATTAAAGTCTGTATAGAAAATCGAAAAATAAATAGACAGTATTGAAATAAAAGCAAAAGTATTATTCATTGAAAACTTTGGAAAATATTTATTTATTTTTTTTAAACTTTCTCTAATCAGTTACATGCTAGCTATGAAGAAAGAAAACTGAATTATCTGACACCTCAACCCTTAGTTATTAACACTATAACAGTCTGCGAATTTCTCATGCTTCAATTTTACTTCAGAGATATATTTTGTTTCGTTATTCCTTGCAACATATAAATAAGAAATCATGCGTATCAAAAACGGTTTTCTCTTCAAATTTAAGAAAATTTTTAACTATAGAAAAACATAATTCGTCAATTGCACTATAATTAACTTGTTAATCAATTCGACGAGTTAATTCGTCACTGATATCCCAATACTTTGAATATAACAATTCCTTTCTTTTTAAAAGACGAATTAATTACTAACTTACGGATTTTTGTGGAAATTTATATTTTTGTGAAAATACATTTAAAAATAGAATTTAGGCAGTAAATGTTATAATTTTGAATTTAGATAGTAAATATTATGGACATTATTGGTCATTATTGGTTTAGAAGTGACACAACTTTTAAAAAGAAATGATGCAACGTTCATTATGTTCCATTGCACTGTAACTCTGTAAAAATATCAACAAAAATGTCGACTGATTAAAAAAATTGCTAATAACTGTAAATATGATACCTTTGATTGATGAAGACTCATTGCAAATAAAACATCAAATGTATTGTGTATTTTTATGTATCGTGTACACTACTTTGATAACATGATGATTTTTACATTTTCTGATATTTACATTTGTCTGATTAAATAAAATCAGTCTGGAAAAATGCCATAGTCTTCTTGAAGTTTTTATATTCATGATCGTTAGACATGATTGTCTACAAGTCGTGTTTACCGTTACCGTGACGTTATCTAACGATTGCTCTGACAATAATTCACCGCGTATTCGACTGTCTTATGCGAGATAAACGTTGAGTAATTAATTCGTCGGAAAGGCACAACGAAAGATGTTGATGAAACATTTGAAAATAACTATAAATAATTAGAATATGAATTAATCGGTTTTAACAATTTCATAATTTATGCATAAGAAAAATTGAGAATGATATAAAGTCTATCAATCGTCGAACTTAATGTTATTTAATTACAAAAATTCATCAAAAGAAAAGCACAACTTTTATTAAATTCTATTTTTTATTAAGAAAAATTTAGCTAATAGATCCTACATTTTATCACGATAGAAAATAAAAATTAATGAGAAATTATTCAAAGGATATTGTTGATTGTTAGAAAATTTCAAGAAATATATAAAAAATATATACTGTGTATTATATGTTATTAGATTAGAAAACAAAATTTCAATAAATAGCCTGTTGTTTAAAAAATTGATATTTCAAGGGATAAACGAACCTTATTAAATGTATTATATAATATTATATTAAAAGAAAATTGTAACAAATAATTTGGGGCATTAATTTTCATATGTATTTACATACACTTTACCATATATCATATGTATATTAAAAAATGACGTTTCGACAAATAATTTATTAACTATTTAAAGGATATTGATTCAATTAATTCTCGAGCTAATCTCTACATTTCCACATTATCCTCTTTCATCTACGAAATAACTATATATGTTCAAATATTCCTATTCATAAATAGTTTACAAGTGAATATAAAAAGAAATAGGTCACGATATAAAAAAGAAAAGAACAGCATATAATCTCCAAGCAACAAATTGATTCAATCAAAATTCTATCAATTATCCAAACATCAAAGTTTCTACGACATTCAACGTAGAAACGTTATATTTTCTAATTTTGTAAATGTTAACTGTACATGATACAATCAAACAGAGTCCTGAATGCTGTAAACAAACATGGTGCAAACTAGTCTCCAATTAAACGCAAATAATTTGAACGTAATTATTGGAAATATGTGACGCGAGATGGTTCACGCATACCAGCAGCGTCTTTTCACTGCCCAATGAATGGAGTGTTTAGCTAAGCGCACTGTGGCGAGAGTACGATGGGAAGAGGCGTGAATGAGCGTAGAGCTACGATTTCAACGCTTCCTAATTTAATTAAGAACTGGCCAACCGGTGGATTGTGACGTCTCCTAGTGCATTCTTCGGGGATGTGTGTCGACAGCTGATAGTTTTCTCTGCATTCTTCGGTCTCCACAAAAGAGAGAGAGAGAGAGATAAAGGAGCCGAAGAAAAGAGAGAAAAAAGGAGCAAAAAAGAGACAGAAAGAGGCCAAGTACACATTTATACAAATAACTCAGGATATTGTCGAATGACTATAAACGAGCAAGTTATTACGTTGAAACTCACGGTATAAATCCCGAATGCGATCCATCGAGGCCTGTGACCCCTTCCTGCGTAATAAGACAGGACCACCGATACAAACAGTTGCGAGATATCGTTACCTACAGAGATAAGACCTAGAAAGAAAGAAAAAAAAAAAATGCATGTTTAACGTTCTCGATCGATAGAAATAATTAAACAGCCCTGGCTTTTATTGATTCATGATATAAAGTACAAACGCTTCGGTGCATACTTCTATATTCGTTTAATAACCTCTCACAAGTGATGAATCACTCTCTATCGTTCGTTTATCGATCAACAAAGAGGAATCGTTTTGATACTTTATATTGTGATACGTACCAAATATTGTGAATGTATAATTATCATTATTTGATTATTTAACCTAGAGATTTTACAATGTAAAGGTTTCAAAAACTGGATTAATAAAATTCGGGACATCTATCTTTTATATCTAATACACTATTGTAATGTCTGAAAATATATAGGTAATTAGCTTTTAAATAAAATAAGATGATTTATTGTAAGATTTCACATCTTAATCAAATTCAGTATTTTTTTTATCTTTTCGTCGGAAACTAACAATTTGCATCAATACGTTTGATATTAAAGCGACATAAATTAGTTTGTTTTCCATCGTTGTGTATACAGAGCATCAGACTAAATTAAAAACCTCCGAATTAAATTTTTAATGTCTCATCTTAATTGTAAAGCGGGCTCAAGATGATATATGTTGTTAGTACATAAAATTACCTAAAAAAAAAAAAATGATTTTTAATCTTTTTAATCTAAATAATATCATAGGCAACTACAATAATATAGTGCTATTAAATGCTAATACTTTATATTATTTAATTTTACCTTGTGTATTACGTTCACCATAATCGAGAGTCAATCAAAATTCAATTAAATTAAGAATGACAAATAAAACGAAATAATCCAAATCCTAAATTATTACAACGACACTGACTAGCTGACACATGCTATCTACCTGGATCTAAACATTTCGTTACGCAGATTGTAGGTCAAGCTAATTTCACGCCTAAATTCGATTAGAACATTTACACGCTTGCATGCATTCTACGTTCTACAATCGTTCAATTAACAGTCTATAGTAGCGCGTATGCACGACGAATGGAAGATTGTGCAACATCGTGAAGCACAATCTCGCGTTGCACGCCGTCTGCTTCAAAACTCACCTGTCGTCTTCGATGGTATCTTGAACCTTTTCTCGATAGTCGTAATGGTGCCGTTGAAATACGCGTAACTCGCCGAAAATATACATCCAAGCACACCGTAGAGGAACACATAAGCCTTTTTATTGGCGAATCTTTGCAACGTCGGGCTCCGTATGCACCAGATGCCGCAGGATGTTTCGTCGGTGATCGGTAAATCTTTGAAGACGTCCTCGAGGCCCCTGGAGCTCGGAGTGGTGGGCGTCGTTGGGGTGGTCGGCGGCGTGGACGGCACTCTCAACAGCTTCAGGCTCTCCGGCCCGTTCTTCTCATGGTTGCTCGTGTTATTTTTCATATTGGTGGACGGGCGCGTTGATACACCTAGCAAACAACGCCACTTTGCAGCTTCGAGATCGCTCTGACCTCAATCGCTGAACGCACGTTTTCGATCGACGTCCGCTGTCCTCGCGGCCCTTGGCATCGCTTTTCTTCCTTCGACACCCTCCTCGCCGCTCCTCGTTCGGCTCGCTCGGCTTTTACTTGACTTTTGCCACGGTCACGTGTTCTCCATGTTTCAATATCGCGCGGTGGAAGTTGATCGTGGCGTCCGATCCGATTTTACCACGCAATGTCGTGATCCGTTGTCGACCTTTACCTGAAGATACACACGATCTGATTAGAAATCAGCACCGGCTTTCATTCGCACGGAAAACATTTATTGTTACACACGGGGACCATAAGAAGAAATGACATCGCGCCGGTTCGATGTTACATGTTACATTGACGTTTTGTGAAACATCGTGAAGTTTGGATAAGCGATAATAGAAGCAAATGGCTGACGAATGCTGATATTCGGGATTATGGAAATATGCACGAAGGATTAAAGTCTGAAATATTATGGACATAATTGAACATGTTAAATGTTATTTAAAAAAGTAACTTGTCATTTGTTTAATAATAAAATAACTATTTAGACTCGTGTATAGAGAATATTCGAATGTAATTGATAAAAATTGAGAATATTTGAATGTAATTGATAAATCTGTTAAATAACTTCTCGAACGTGTGTTTATTTTTGATAATAAAACAATTATTTGGAATCGTATATGCCTTATATAACTCGAAGAATATTTGTTTTAATTTAGACGCGATTAATAAAAATTGAGCTTATTAAATAATAAAAGTAACTTCTCGAACGTGTATTTATTCTTCATAGTAAAATAATTATTTTGTAAAAGTAATTTCACACTGTCCTTACAATAGAATATCTTTTAATATTCAGTATGTGAATAATAAAAATTTCTAAATTGCGTCTGTCTTTTACAATACCACCGCCAATATGTAAAATATTTAATTTTTCTAGTTTTGAAATAAATATAATACTTATTCTAAAACTTGTCGATGAAAATGCACATCTTCTTTTCATAATCATATCTGTCATTTGAAAAAAATTAATAACATTGCGAGGCTTGATTGCTTTCAACATTTCAGAAACAAATAAATACACAAATAAATACCTTCGACCGAAATGAACGAAAGAAACAATTAAGAACGTGCCGAAAGAACTACATAACTACAAACTTGACAATTACTCGACAATTACTAATTAATCCAAGGGAATAAATAAAAGCGATCACAAAATTCACTCACACCTACCGTCAAGTAAAGAATTGATTTCTATATCGAAGCGAAAACGAACGATGACAACCGCTGGACCAATTAAGTGAAACCAGCCACCGAAAGTGGAGGTCGAAAATTCGAATCCTACTGTGGCGTTTTTCACGGTTCTGGCCAAGAAGAGAAAAAGAAAAAAAAAAAGAAGAAGAAAAGAAAAATTCGTAATGTTATGTCCGAAAACGAACGATATTCTTGGCCAACTGAAATCGTCTTCCAAGAGCGACACAGATGAAACCCGTGTACGGAATCTCCTGCGGATCCCCACTTTCGATCCCGAGGAACCGATCGGACGACAGAGGATCACGACGCGGAGAACTGTGATGCATCTATGGTTCTTCGGTTCGCGTTGCTGTTATCAAGCGAGGGCACGTTTTCTACCTCTCTTGCAATCACTTCGTGTCTCCTTCCCCTCTAATTCCCGTGCTCTGTCTAACTCTATCTTCTGCTCCTTTTCTCTCTCTCTCTCTGTTTCTCTCTCTCTCTCTCTCTGTTTCTCTCTCTCTCTCTCTCTGTTTCTCTTTCTCTCTGTCGCGCGTACACGACTTCTCTTTCTTCGTCTATTTGTATTCCTCTCCGTTGCTCAAACATCCAGAAGAATTTACTTGTACCCGACTCCATTCTGTAAGGTCTACTTTTGATAATCTGTATTTGCGGAGACGTATCAACCTTACAAGAATAAGGTAAGCTACTTGAAGTTTGATTCGATGTACGCGGAACAGTCACGGTGTAGTATGAATAGGCTGGGAGAAAAGTTTGTAATAATTATACTGTGGATGTCTATGCATTTGTAGGAAATTGAAAATTGCAGAAAACGCATATGTTCAAAGTATAGAACTAGTTATACAATAATATGCAATTAATATCTGCTTTGATGACTCTTGATTAACTTCGGGAACCTATAGTGTCACGATTGTAATGTGCAATGGTTTTTGTATCTAATGGTACTTGTTGTAATGTGTATGAATGGATGAAATTAATTGCACTACCATTTGAATTCCATTTTCTTAATTAATTTAAAAAAATATATATACATCCGAGTGCCAACGAATAATATTAATTTCTGCTTTGATTTTATTTTCTTAATTAACTTTAGGAACATGTAAAATCGAACGATCATAATTTATTTGTTTATTGAAACGATTTTTTTAGAAACTCGTGTGTCTCTCTCCTTTTGTGAATCGTCATTGACGAATGTGAAATATATTTACTCGGTTCACCTGTATTAACGAGTAAATTTCTTAGACACAACGTTTTACTATCATTTATTAAGATTGCAATTTCTCTGCTGAAAGATTTTTAAAAATATTTTATTAAACAACATATTACTCATATACATATTGCTTTCTTATAGGTACCAATATCAAGTATTAAAGTATTAAAAAAAATATCAAAAGACGTTATAAGTACGAAAGGAAGCTATAAACACATTTTTTATAAAAATCATTGAAATACTTCAATCTACCAAAAAAAAAAAACTACTTACGATAATACAATAATAAGATAGCAACAAACGAAGAGACGATAGATGGTATAAAACACAACGAACACTACAACATGATAGTGAACGCTGATGGAAAAAAGGATTGAATAATTACAATAAACAAATCAATCGATAAAGAGAAATACCAACATCAACTCTTGCATGGACGTCTATTGACAATTACGATAATACAAAGGCACATTAAGCGAAATTGACTTCAATTATTTCATAAATATCGCCATCGAAAATGACAGATCATGCTGTTATTCGTGAATGCTCCTTTAATGTGTAATTCTTTGCAATTGAAGGATATTCCCCAACTAGGACTGGGTCGAAACATGCAGATCTCAGCAAGATAGACGAGGTCTCGGCTTTCGGTATGGTGTCTATGTTCGTTTCTAGTCAACCTCCGGGAGCAGAGGCTCACATTGTGAACCCATTATGATTTAATAGAGCCGACGTGATGTACACACACGCGCACACTACGCGACTGGTAAACTCTTCCGTCTATTCCCGCGCATTGCTAATGGCACACACCAAACAGCTATACCGCTAATAGCTAGTGGTTAATTGCTGAAATTTAATTTTCCATCGAAGAATCGCTCGGCCTGCGACCGTATCGTCATAGTTTGTTTCGACCTCGGTATATTATACATTTTTTTTTTTTTTTTTTGCGTTTCGTATGAAAACGCGTGTATTATACTGTATAATAATCGTAATCGTACAACGAGAACAAAACACAAAGGAATACAATTATGTCTTTTTATAAACACAACTAAAGAAACAGTTTAATTAAAGAAATTAAAGAAATTAAAGAAATAGAAGTTTGGGCAGAAATTTTACATACTTTTACATACTTGATGTTATATAATATAATAATAAGTACATAATAAGCATTAGAGTTTGCATATTTTGTATAGCTCTGTTACACATCATGTAGCATTTCCACACTTTTAAATTTCACATAAATACAAAAATCCGCAATCTCTACAAATTCATTGTACTTAAAACCATTGCATTATGTTCTGTACTTGAAGTTACTGCTGGATCGTGAATCTTTGTGCAATTTCACAATATTTTTTTATATAAGCACAACGAAAGAGATGGAGCCTAAGCAGAAATTTAAGGTTTGCATATTTTGCACATGCATAAAAATCTTCAATCAAATTCATTGCATCTAAAACCATTACATGTATTCACATATTAGTTCTTACTAGTTTGTGGATCATCATGCAGTTTCATATTAAGGAATATGAATCTAAGCAGAAAATTTACTTTAACTACTAAATATTATACTAAATATTAGAAATTTCTCATAAATGCGTCTATAATCTAAAAGTATCTCCACATTTTCATGGATACGATTAAAGGATTAAAGAAATAAAACCTGAGCAGAAATTTCTTCTCATTATAAAGTATACAACAAATTTTTAAATTATAATAACTTCAATTTTTGATATTGAATTTTAATATTGGATCATTTTGTATTTTCACATCACTGAAAATTAAAAATTCAAGTTGAATTATGGCCAATTTCACAAAGAAAGATCCAAAGTGTTTCCAAAGTGTTAAATAACGATGAAATTTCGCAATGTTGATTTAAAACTCTCTTTCCTCGAAACTGATAACTCGTGTATATCGTATTTATCGTTGTTTTGTTAAATTTAGAAACAGTTGTTTGACACAGGCAATATCGAGATTACTTTCTAACACTTTTCCAATAATTATTCTTCTTAATAAATCGTCACTTTCACAATCGTGCCTTTTATTCGAATATTTTTACATGTTCTTCTGTATCGTAACATTTCTTGAAACGTACGAAATTGTACTCAAATTTGAGTCTAACTTATTCCCTATTTTCCTATTTTTGATTTCGTTACTTAATTTAAAGAGAATTCAGTAAATAGAGAATAAAATAGGAGATACGTTTATTGGTTAACGATCTTCTTTTTCTGTTTAATAAGTGATCAACAGTGTTTAACTTAAACAGTTTCGGTAACCTTGAGCAAGAAATATGGAAGGTATTGCGAAACCGATTAAAATCTTGTTATCACGGCTACGAAGATAATTAAACAATATTACCAACCGAGTTCGAATTCTGAATGCACGTGTCATTGCTTACAGTAACGTATAATACACGATACACACATATTCCTGAGTCATGGCTATCTTTTCGCACTAACGAGGAAACTGACAAATACGGAAATGCGTATAACAAAAAGAACGATTAACAAAAAATTTCGAACACTTTTACTTATTTATTAATCCTGTGTAATTAAAAAATTTATTAACTACTAGACGTAGAAATTAATTCGGCGCCTTTTCTGGAGAAATTTGTCATTTGTCCTTTTTTCATTTCCCTTTGCAATAATTCTTATAGAAAATAATTGTTTTAGTAGGTCATTTATTATTCTAGAACAAGTTCTTCTTATATCTGAGAAAAGTTACGATTTAATAATTGTTCAAACTCTTTCAAATATATAAATTAAAATCAATTAAACTCTTTAATTGAAAATCAAATAAAACATATTATTCCTTTTAATAATCTGCATCGTGCTTTGTAAATATTATTTGTACTTTAAAATTCGATACAAAGGCGATACTTACTCTTGTAGTTGTAGCTAGTTACTCCAATTTAAAATCTAAGGCATGATGATTATAAATAAATAACATTATTACTATATGTTGGCACATGTATTATTATAAAAAATACTAATAAACTATAAATAAGTTATTTGATATATTTGTAATAATAGTCTGTTGACGAAACTATTTTCAAAATATGAATATATAAATATATAACTTGCGAGATACACGATGATAGAGGTATATTATTAGTAATAACGGTATCATGTCAATGTCATTCAAACATGAAGAAACGTACAAGTCATGAAAGAGTTATTAGCGAATTTCGGCATGACTTGTAGGAAATATCCTTCTTCTGACGTACGTACGTTTGTTTGCAAACATATGTCAGACATTTTGTTTGTTGGCAAAAATTTACATCTACGATAAGGAGGTAATAAATTAGTACACGATGTCATCTTGTCACTAAACGAACGAAACGTTTTGATCTCATGTTTCCCTTCTATTCCACTAATTGAATCTTGTACAAAGCTAACGATTTAATAGAGCACCAAAATTCTTGAAACAAAAGCTTATAATGACTATGAAAAATATTTGTGCCTTTTTCTATATGATATACTTTTTTTTTTATTAATACCATACTATATTTACTAATATTATAGTATCAAATTTTTATATTCGTACGAAAATACTACTAAATAATACTACTGCTACTATTAAATAATATAGAAGTAATAAATTATATGTATCTAATATATGTGTACTATATGGAAATAATTTATGTATCTAATATATGTGTACTATATGGAAATAATTTATTGACAGATTAAAGATTTTTATGCAAATTCATATTTTTGAAAACATGAGTAAAAAAGATAATGCCTGAAAAATTATTTTATTTATCAGCAAATATTATAGAAAGTGTCATGCTTGGAATATTTTACATATCTCTTTCAAATTACGTGCAATTTTAAATTTTTGTCTTAAATTTTTCATAAATACATGAAAATTCAGTCTATTAATTAGCAAATGCTGTGACAAATACATATAATACATAAATAATTCAGTATACTATATATATAATTATATGTACAATTAATATATATATAATGTATGTAAAAAAATGTAAATATAAAATATGTAATTACCACTGATATATATATATATATATATATACATACGCATATATAATAACAATGTAAACATCGATGTGTAAATAATTTTTATATTTACTTTACTAACTTCAACGACCAGTAGTAATTACATTTTTTTTTTAATG